AACTCTGCAGAGAGAGGGGTCAAATACCCGTTTCTATCGTTAAGCGTAGAAAACCCTACTAATATACATGAATATGAATCAAAGCGAACTAATTTAGGGAAGAAAATGAACAGTAAAAGTTGTTGAAAAGATTGAATCAATTTATTCCTTATAATCAATATATATATTGTGCAAATAATTCAAATTTTATTGAAATTTTATCAATTAACGATAGCGATTCCTTGCCCCCCCCCCCCCCCAACTTAAAGTTTACCCCCGGGTGGTACACACTAATATTGAAGTTTTCACCGTTTTTGGGGGGTGAAAGTCCAAATATTATTGGAGTATCTTGTGCAAAATTTTGCAAAGAAACCCCTCATACAACTAAAATGATAAATTAAGCAAGAATTTTTACTGTAGATCACTAAATTTTCGCGACACCTTATTTTCGCGAGATGGTCATTTGGTATTTATAAGCGAGACATAATTTTCAAGAACTTTGGATATTGTTCATTATATTCTTTAGTACTAGAAATATACGCGAGAATGAAATTTTTGCGAGCAGACAGTCTCGCGAAATTATGTGAAAATAAAGTTCTCGTGAATAAAAAGTGATTTACAGTACCAAGAATCAATCAAATCTGCCAGAAAAGTGCTCATGTACTTCTAGCACGAATTGTGAAGTGTGATACTGGTATCAGTAAGCGAAGAAATCACGTGTTCCGTGGTATATTAACCAAGATTAACATTAACATACGTTTTATATCTCAATCGCTGTAGAAAAACTAATTAGGTCAATTTTCCTAGCAAATTACGCTTCGAAATCCGCAACCCCAATGGTCACTCTTCCGTACCCCCAAATTTGGGGTTATTTACGGTATCATAGTGGCTTATAATATATACCGATGTCTTAAATTTCAAAAAAATATATTGAAAAGTAAGACAGATACAGTCTATAAAGTATTAGCCAATCAGATTTTAGCACACATGCATGCATGTCCTTGTATTCAGTTTTGATAGTAGCTAAACGTAGGAACCCCTTTTTCATTTTTGAAGCAAACTTGTTTTGGAGTTTCTGAAGTATTATATACATGTATATAGTATTATATTCACTAAACTAAATATCTTTATTCCTTCAAAACATAAAACAACTAATAAAATAAGAGATAAATCAGAAAAATCAATATTTTATTTTACACCAAACACGTCTTTCAAAAACTATTTTGTTCGTTCCACTACCTTGTCCATCAAACAAATCAATCGGTAAAGCTTCATAGTTTGCAAGGTACGAGCCACCCGAGGATCGAGCTCCGATTGACAAACAAATACGCAGTCTTTTTTTGAAAGGTATGTAAATAATAAATAATTAACAAAAATAAAACACACTTTCGATAAAATATTTAAGTATGTAAAAACTTGTGATTTTAGCCATGTTAGAATGCATAAATAAAACAAGAGCACCGCTATAAGCAGAGCATCCCCTGGCGGCAGGAACTTCACCAGTAATGGCAATGTCTCCACACGAGAGAAAAATTGTCAAGAAGGACGTTAAACAAGATACAATCATCTAGTAATCAAGGGAACCCAGTATTACTATATAAAGTTTGAAATGAAAGAAAAAGTGAGCAAGCTCACATACCCCACGCTCCCTAAAAACTCGACAATGCAACACGTAATGAGTGGCACTGTGCATTTTATATACACAGTATAATTCAAAAAGGGGCATTACTTGCAAAAAATCATCACATCAAACTTCTTGCATATAAGGACATTCAAATCTTTGTATGTTACAAATTTAATTGGGCTGAAGTTTCTAGATAAATAATTTATAATGGAATCAAAATTTCTTGGTAATATACAAATCTATACATTATGTCTGAAATACCTACAAAGTTTCAGGAAATTCAGTGCAGGAGTTGCGCTGACAAACTGTTATTTAAATTCCTCAGTGATTTCGATTTGTTAATGAGTGTAAGTCCATGCCCAACACATGACAATTTACACATTTAAAAAATTGACGGAAACCAAATTATGATGTAGTCATATGAATTTGTTTGTATACTGTACTTATGAAATTATTTAAGGCAAAGCACCAATTTGGGGGGTGGGGGGGGGGGTGGGGTGAGGGGTTGAGAACTATCCAAGATTTTGTGTGTGTGTGTGTGTTAAATCATTAACATTTTGATCTCAAAATCAATAGGGGTCTTTTAAGGTCATAAAATATTTCACATAAAATTTCACTACAAAAGCTGATTCCAGTGGATTTCTTTATTACCTAGCTGGAAAGTTTCTTCAATAATAAGCAAAACTCTTAGGGCAAAAAGAATGGAATCGGAATTTCCTGGTAATGTGTACATCTACACACTGTGTACTAATTATGTGCAAAGTTTGACCAAATTCTGTGCAGCGGTTTAAGAGGAGTTGCGCTGACAAACTGTTCATCTCTATATTCAAGATATGGCCAAAAATCTAAGTTGAAAGTGCCGAAATTCCCAGAAAAAATAATGAAATCGGAATTTCCTGGTAATGTGTACATCTACACACTGTGTACTAATTATGTGCAAAGTTTGACCAAATTCTGTGCAGCGGTTTAAGAGGAGTTGCGCTGACAAACTGTTCATCTCTATATTCAAGATATGGCCAAAAATCTAAGTTGAAAAGTGCCGAAATTCCCACAAAATATAATGAAATCGGAATTTCCTGGTAATATGCACATCTACATATTGTGTCCTAAATATCTACAAAGTTTGACGAAATCTGTGCAGCGGTTTAAAAGGAGTTGCGCTGACAAACTGTTCATCTCTATATTCAAGATATGGCCAAAAATCTAAGTTGAAAAGTGCCGAAATTCCCAGAAAAATAAAGGAATCGGAATTTCCTGGTAATATGCACATCTACACATTGTGTCTTATTATCCGCAAAGTTTGACGAAATTCTGTGCAGCGGTTTATGAGGAGTTGCGCTGACAAACTGTTCATCTCTATATTCAAGATATGGCCAAAAATCTAAGTTGAAAAGTGCCGAAATTCCCAGAAAAATAAAGGAATCGGAATTTCCTGGTAATATGCACATCTACACACTGTGTCCTAATTATCCGCAAAGTTTGACGAAATTCTGTGCAGCGGTTTATGAGGAGTTGCGCTGACAAAAAAAAAAACAACAACAAAAAAAAACAGGACTGACGGACTGACTGACTGACGGGTCAAAAACATTATACCCCCGGCAACTTGTTGCGTGGGGTACAATAAGGAAAAAAAATTTAAAATGTTTTGCAACACTAATTAAATTTTTAACAAAAGTTGGATATCATGGGGGGGGGGGGCGTCCATTTTTAACAAAAATCCAATTAAGGTGCATATCATCTTGGTGGGGGAAGGTGGGGGCATAACAAGCATACGTGATTGGACAGTTTCCCTTATCCCTAGCAGAAACATATCACGTATGCTCTAAATTTCAGTAATTTGCCTACCTGATTATCCCACACAGTTGCATGCAATACGCTTCAAATCTGAGAATACCCACGGATGCAATATTTTTTCATAATGAAAAATGACAATATACCGGTGTTGAGAGGTCGATGAAACTTGCGAAATGTCTTTTATATATATATATATATATATATATATATATATATATATATATATATATATATATATATATATATATATATATATAATGTATTTATAGTTTTCAAGAATTACGTGCGCCTCAAGAATAAATTCCATATTGTAAACAGACATGCATGTGTGGTAATATGGTAATGAAACCGCGACGTTCATCATATTATTTCAATTACTCGTCGTCAAAGATGACACATTTAATTTATACAGACTGTCTTAAGATATGCATGTAGTAATATGACAATACGCAAATACAAAGTTAGTAACCCAACTTACCGGGGCAACTCTATCGAAGCGACCCGAATTTACCCAGTTTACAGGGTACCAGTTTAATTAACAGGAAGTGAGTATTGTCAACTTGTACATAAAATTTCCGGTTTTGAAGGTAGTAAAAACGCGATTTTTTAAAAGAAATATAACACCGATTAACTTGAAAATGAAAAGGGTTCGTCCTTTTACAATGCCACATAAGTATTTGGAGGCTGAGAATTGATAGTGCAAAGGTTCTCTTTAAATCTTGCCCACAAGCTGTAATGGACACACTGACACACACGAACATACGCACAGTAGCGATGCTATATCCCCTCCGCACCTAGTTGCGCGAGGGGATAATAATACATCCAGATATTTGTGAATGATAATCATCAGAGTTTTTTAAAAAAATACTTCATTTCGCCGCTAAGAAAAATGCCAATCTTTTTATGACTTGCCTATTAGTCGGAGATGGAAGTTTAGACCAATATTTAACTCCCAAAAACCGACTTATAGGCGAGTATATACGTTATGTATCTCTAGTCTACTACTGGTGTGCCAACTTATGCTGAAATCAGTATAAAATTGTAGGAGAAGTAGCATTTTGAAAATATTTCACAGAAAATTCTATTTTTAGAAACCATGGCAACACTGCTAAAAAAAAATCAAAAACCCATGCACAGAATTATGTATCTCAGTGTAGTCCTTTTGTGTGCCAAGTTATACTGAAATCAGACCAAAACTGTAGGAGACGTAGCGTATTGAAAATATTTCACAGAAATTTCTATTTTTAGTAAGCATGGCAACAAAACTGATGCACGGTATTATGTATCTTATTGTAGTCTTCTTGTGTGTCAAGATATAATGAGATAAGACCAAAACTGCAGGAGGAATTTTACAGAAATTTCTAGTTTTATTAACCATGGCAACACTGCTCATCAAAATCAAAAACCGATATACAGAATTATGTATCTTAATGTTGCCTTCTTATGTGCCAAGTTATATTGAAATCAGACAAAAAATTGCAGCGTTTAGAAAAATTGTATACAGACAGACAGACGGACGACGGACATCTTACTATCGCATAAGCTCTTCTGGTCTATGACCAGTAGAGCTGACAACATGTAATGTAGAATAAAAGGTACCAACATGGAGCTTGTGGAACTCTTCTATCTCCACAGTTGATTAGAGTAAAGTGCTGACACGTTTTGGAGGTGGTGTCATATAGCAGGGGATATGCACACTCATGTAGATAGGTCCCTGTCTTGTTGTTATATTGACCACACTTAAAAAACTGAGCACAGCTCTGATAACTTGGCAGAATCAGTCCAGGGTTATTGTCGCAGTAGTTATTCACAGAGTCTAAAAAATCAAATTAAACATGAATGTACTAATGTAAATCTGTTAAGTACATGTATTTATAAACCTGTTAAAATTTGAGGCATTTTCTAGCAAAGTCTTATGAAGAAAATGCAGATCAAATCACTTTTCTCTTCTTCACTTTTATCAGAGCTATTCATTAGTATGTGAAAAATGCTCTTTGTTTGATTTGACACAGAAACCATATTAGTGAGCTTGATAAAAAAAATTGTCAACAAAGTTGCTTTCGTACTTTTTACAATGATTTCCTTATACCCAGGCAATGCTAGGGTAGATTCAAGTTTCTTAAAATCATGACCCCCAAAATAAGTTCTTTTAGCCTTCAACAGGCTACCCCGTTCCTGAAAAGTCTTGATAACGGATCTGCATGTAGATTTGAACAATTTAGAATTTATATTACCTCAGAAACCTTGCACGTAAGTTTCAGTTTTTCTGGCCCAGTGGTTCTTGAGAAGATTTTTTAATGACCCCACCCTATTTTTGTCTTTTCTTAATTATCTCACCTTGGAAGGGGGCTTGGTCCTTAATTTTATCAGTTTAAACTGCTCTTCACCCAGAAATGCTTTGTACTAATTTTAGTTAAATTTGCCCCAGTGATTCTTGAGAAGTTGAAAATGTGAAAAGTTTACAGACGGACAAATGAATGGATGACGGACAAAGTGTGCTCAGAAAAGCTAACTTGAGCTTTCAGCTCAGGTGAGCAAACAAAGCATGAATTCAAGTTTTCTCAATACTTTTGAAGTACTCTTGTATTTTTATTAGATTAAGTAAATACAATCTTGATAAAAAAAATTTGTATTGTGAATGAAATTGTACAGATTTCAATCGGTCTAAAATAATTTTTTTATGAGAATATACATAATTATTCAATAGGATATGGAACGTTGATAGGTGCAATAATTAAGCCCTCTTCATTTATTGGGGGTGGGTGGGTGGGTGGGTGTTACATAATTGCAGCTAGGGTTGTTTGTTTGTAAGTTGTTTGCTGTTTGTTGCCTATATATCTTAATGAATTAAGCTCCTGAATAGTAATGCAGGGATTCTAAGTTCAATTCCCAGTCTAGCCATAAATATTATCCCTTCCTGTAATATTTAGTGCCACTGACTATCTCCATATTTGCAGGTAAAAGTTCATCAAGCAAAGGGCAAATCCAAGTCGTCGGTTTTTGAGGGCAAAGACAATTTTAGAAGAAAAGAATGTGGTGGTTTGGGCTTTAAACGAAGTGGATATTGGTCTGGAAAGCTCAGTGGTTTGAGCACCTGACTAGTACTGCTAGGGTCTCAGATTCAATTCATGGTCCAACCATAAATTTTCATTGTGTATTTGTTCATTCTCTTTCCTACTACACATGTATCATGACTGTACTGTTCATTATAAATTGAGACTTTCAGTTTAGTTTAAAAAGCATCTAAGATGATTGTATTTACTTGTTGTCTCATGATCCTGTGGCCAGATTCTACCATCATATATCATTGTCTTAATCAGATTTGTAATATGTGTTAAATAGAATTATAATCCTTACCAGTATTGGTCAAACACATGTGTGATTGCTGATCAAAAATTCCCACATGGCACTGCTCCACAGCCACTGTTCTACCATGCTCACATACCACATACCAGGGGGTGTGTTCCCTGCCAGGGTATTCATTGGCTCCATCAGGGTGAGAACGACAACTCACCTCTGAACAAGCTGGACACCCAGCTCCTATACATTGACTCTGAATGTACTCACCTGAAAGTATGCAGAAATACATTCAAGCTTATTTCAATTGTTAGACAAAATATATAATTATATTTATGTGGAATGGGGCACCCCAAAGCAACAATGCTCATCAAAACAATAAAATACTTTGTTTGTTAGTACAGCAACTAACATTGCAGCTGGATGGGAAAATATCTTAAATGTATCAGAATTTGAAAAATCAGTTTAAGTTATATTTTAATTCCTAATCAGCTTCTAAAGGTTGATATGCATTTAGTGAAAGAAGAGAACTATTGTTAATTCCTACAAGAGGCCCATGGGCCACAACGCTCACCTGAGTTACTTTGGCCCTGCTGTTCTTCAACAGTTTTTTTCTTTGTCATACTAATTTTTCCTATATAATTCAACGTAAAACTTTGATTCCCTATTGTTCCTCACCCTACCCTGGGGGCCATGATTCGAACAATAAAGAATCTAAACTACCTTAGGATGCTTCCACATTAGTTTCAGCTTTTTTGGCCTTGTAGTTCCTTAAAGAGTGATTTTTAAAGATTTTTGATATATATTTTAATGTAAAATTTTGATTCCCTGTTGTGACCCCTTCCTAGCCCCAGGGATTATGATTTGAACAATTTAGAATGTACACAACACAAGGATACTTCCACATCAGTTTCAGTTTTTCTGACCTAGTGATTCTTGTGAAGAAGATTTTTAAGAACTTTTCCTATATTATTTCAATGTAAAACTTTAATTCCCCATTGTGACCCCACTCTACCCCGGGGGTCATGATTTGAACAATTTAGAATCTACACTACACCAGGGTGCTTCCACATGTTTCGGCTTTTCTGGCCCAGTGGTTCTTAAGAAAATTAAAAAAAAAAATCCTATGTATTTCAATGTAAAACTTTGATTCTCCATTGTGGCCCGACCCTACCCCCAGAGGCATGATTTGAATAATTTAGTATCTACACTATGCTAGGATGTTTCCACATAATTTTCAGCTTTTCTGGCCCAGAGTTTTTTGAGAAGAAGATTTTTTAAATAGATTTTTCCCTATATATTTCAATGTAAACCTTTGATTCCCTGTTGTTGTCCCAACCTACTCCCTGGGAGAGGGGGTCATGATTTGAACAATTTAGAATCTACACTACCCCAAGATGCTTCCACATAAGTTTCAGGTTTTCTGACCCAGTGGTTTTTTCATGACCCCACCTAATTTTTGTCTTTTCTTTATTATCTCCCTTTGGGAGGCTTGGCCTTTTATTTTAACAATTTAAACTTCCCTTTACTCAAGGTGCTTGGTTAAAATTGGCCCAGTGGTTCTTGAGAAGTTGAAAATCTGAAAAGTTTACATACGGACGAACGGACGATGGACAAAAGGTGGTCAGAAAAACTTACTTGAGCTTTCAGTTCAGGTGAGCTAAAAATTGTTATTGTTATATCTAAATGTCAAACTGAAGGTCGCAGAAAGAGACTTCCTCATAAACATTTCATAAAATAAAACATAGTAGCTTTATAAAATTTAAGATGACAAATGATCACATGCCAAATTTTATTTGATTAATTCACTATTATTGTCAGCTAAGGTTCATTGATACTCTGATAACAGAGATAATTCTGAATGGCATGAACATCTATTATTTCTTTATAAATTTATTATTCCTTTATAAATTTGCCATGTCTTTTTCGTCTAATTTTTCCTTGCAAACTCTGCTATACTTTTTTTACTTATAAAATATGTCTTTTGGAAAATTATAAACATTTAAGCAACATTTTATATGATTGAACAGTGGGTTTATGAACCCTAAGATCATGAACATACATGTACATTCATTAGATAAAAAGTACAGATTGTATAAACTTTATGGTAATATTGGTGTTTCATTTTTTAATTAGCATTTTCTTTCAAATCCACAAAAAATAATTTTGTAGCAAACCAAATTTTCCTGTTATATTGTTATTTCATTTTGGACGTACATGGTTCGATGGGCTCAAACCGGGAACCACAATTAACCCTGCTGAAATGTTGACATGTGCCTGTCTCGATTTCGTACAGCAGCGGATACTGACATTCTTTGAGGTAAAGTCCATACTCTGAGTCTCTTGTACTGCAGTCATAAAACTGGGCACAATGCTTAGGATTAGGAATAGATCCAGTAGGATGTATCATGCAGTAATTGGATATGGTGTCTGCAAAATGGAAAAAAGTACAGGGTATAATTATGTTGTTTTTTTTGGTAAAGATTCGTCTTATTTTAAGGTAAAAAAAAATCCCTCTGCTCTTTATTATGTTTCCCAAAAACGGAGTTAAGGAACATATTGTTTTTAATGTGTTTCTTATTATTAAGGTCTTTCGTCTTCATGGAAGACCTTATGTGATTCTACTAATTCGTATTCAGGTCTTCTGTCTTCACGGAAGACCTTAGAATGATTTTGCTGTTTCTTATTAAGGTCTACCGTCTTCAAGGAAGATCCTATAGTGATTCTACTGTTTCTTCTTCTAATTATTAAAGTCTTCCGTCTCCACGGAAGACCTTATAGTGATTCAATTGTTTCTTACTATTATTATTATGTCACCCCGAACGCAGTCGGGAGAAATTTTCCTATTGTACGGATGAAAACATTGTTCACGGACTTTATCGCAGATGGTTGTGGCAATGTTGCTGGTACTTTCAATAAAATATGATGACGAGCTGTATTTGTGCAGAAAATATTTTTCAGTTTCAACATAGCTTCCGTTGCCATGGAAGCGTATGAAAAGTGACGAATTTTGTCCAGAAGTGTTCTCGCTGATTCCTTAGACAATCGTAATGAATCTTCATAAAAATGATACACAGCAATTGTAGTTTTGCAAATGGAAATTTTCAAACCACCCTTCGTTGCCATGGAAACAGAAGAAAAGTTTAAACTGCTAAACTTCAATTTTCTCACAAACTGCTCAGGCAATTATTTTGAAACTTGTAAGGATTATTCCTTACATTCTGTCAAAGAAAGATCTATTTAAAAAATTAGAATCTTTTGCAAACAGTTGCCTTAGAAATGAAAGAAACAGAAAAAGGTTAATACACGCACAGATGTTTTCCGAGGTGGCTTGAACAATTGTGATGAAAATTTACAGAAATTACGATGTATGATTAGACACTCTATTTGTTCGATCAACATTCAAATTTGGACTTTCTTGATGCGAATGGACAAAAAAACGTTGCATAAACGTTTATGTTTGATCTCTTTAAGGTATTCCATCCCTAATAACCTCAGATTCAATAAATTTGAAAAAATAACAGATGTTTACAGGTGGAATACTCAGTACATTTAAACGTAATTCCCATTTATTACTATTGTAAGAACGTGTCCTATTTATGACCTTGACCTTTGTTGAAGAGTTAGCTCCCTTTTTTTAAGGAGTAAAATCAATTTTAAAAAATTTAAGCAGTAGAAAAATTGTTTTCAATTGTCATTCTATTTCTAATGATTTAATGCATCTTTCCACCACAGTATTTATTGATATTCTTATTATTTAAATTTTATTTAAAAAAAATCGGTTGACTCCATAGTCACTGTAAAATGCTTGTAATTAATATCAGAGTATTATATACGTGATGGATATTTAAGGATAGAGAATTAGGTCCTATTAGGGATGGAAAACCTTAAGGCTATACATCATTCGATTTTCCTGTCTTCCTAATTTCTTTCTTTTTAGGTCACCTGAGTCACTCAGGTGACCTATTGCTATCTGTTTTCGTCCGTCGTCGTCCGTCGTGCGTCATGTGTTAACATTTGAACATTTTCAGATTCTTCTCTGAAACTGCTAAACCAATTTCAGCCAATTTTAGCATATGGCATCTATGTGTGAAGGGAAACAAAATTTGTGAATATCATGGTCCTGCCCCCCTGGGGCCTGAGGGGTGGGGCTAAAACCACCAAAATTAATGCAATCTTTAAAAATCTTCTTCTTTACTCCTGGACATCAAGCAGTCAAACTGTTGGCATGATTGTAATAAGCATTGAGCCCTCTACCAAAATTGTGAAATTCATGACCCTAGGGTAAGGGGTTCTGGTGCTAGGGCGGGGCTATATAGATCCTATGGTGAAAGTGCATTATTTCTTTGAAAATCTTCTTCTCTACTCCTGGAAATTATTGAAACAAATTGAATACATAGTTATGATAAGCAAGGGTGACTCTACCAAAATTGTGAAATTCATGGCCCAAGGGTTAGGAGTTCTGGTGCTAGGGCGGACAAATAGAGATCATATAGTGAAAGTGCATTATTTCTTTGAAAATATTCTTGTCTACTCCTGGGTATTATTGAAATATATTGAATACATAGTCATGATAAGCAAGGCTGACTCTACCAAAATTGTGAAATTCATGGCCCCAGGGTCGGGGTTCTGGTGGTAGGGCGGGGCTATATAGATCATACAGTGAAAGTGCATTATTTCTTTGAAAATCTTCTTCTCTACTCCTGGGTATTATTGAAACAAATTGAATACATAGTTATGATAAGCAAGGGTGACTCTTCCAAAATAGTGAATTTCATGACCCCGGGTCAAAATTAGGGCCGGGCTCTATTTATTATATAGTGAAAATGCATAAATGCTTTAAAAATCTTCTTCTCTGCTCCTTGGTATTTTTGAAACAAACTAAGTATATTGTTATGATAAGCAATGATGCCTCTTCCAAAATTGTGAAATTCATGGCCCCAGGGACAGGGGTTCTGGTTTTAGGGTGGGACTATATAGATCCTATAGTGAAGGTGAATTTTTTCTTTGAACATCTTCTTCTCTGCACCTGGGTACTATTTAAACAAACTAAGTACACTGTTATGATACGCAAGGATTCGTCTTCCAAAGTTGTGAATTTCATGGCCCCAGGGTCAAGGGTTCTAGTGAAAGGTGTGTGTGTGTGGGGGGGGGGGGGGGCTCTATTGATTATATAGTGAAAAAGCAAAATTTCTTTGAAAATATTCTTTTCTGCTTCTGGTTAAAAAGCAAAGAAGCTAAGTATATAGTTATGATGAGCAAGAGTGCTTCTTCCAGAGTAGTGAATTGCATGACCCCGGGTCAGATGTGCTGGTGTCAGGGTGGGGCCCTTGATAATATAGTGGAAATTCATTAATTCTATTAAATAATCCTGTTTGCTCCTTAGTGTTAAGCAGATAAACAAAGTGATTACTTATGATGAGCAAACTTCTGGTCCCAGGGTGAGAGACTCTAGTATTTCTCGGTGGGGAGGGGGGGGGGGCTCTATTGATTATATAGTGAATCTGTAGCAAAAATGCATTATTTCTTTAAAAATTTTCTCTGCACTTGGGCATATCACAGGCAAAAAGATTAAAAGTTTTAATAAGGAAGGGTATTTTTACCAGATTTTTGAACATCTGGACCATTTAGTCAAGTATTCTGGTCCTGGCCAGGGCTCTATTAATTTGTATTCTACTGAGAGGAGTTATTGCCTTTGCAGTTTGATAATTAATCACTGTAAACAATGTACTTGAAAGGTTAATAGAATAAGAGAATTATGCAAGAATTTTTATTGTATAATACAAAAAGTATTTTCATAGTTTTAATGATTAGGTAGACTTTTAAGTAATAGATAAATAAAAATGGAACAAAAATAACTTGTCTTATTAAATGTTCAACAAAGTCCAAGAGAGGCCAATGTAAGAGATTTCAACAAGAAAATAAAATAGTACAGAAGCACTGATAGATTTTTAATATACTGTATAGTGATAAATGGGGAACAGATTAGAAACTAATGTATAAACTGTCAATGAATACTAGATTAATTATTTTGTTGATCCTGATCACCCTATTTTTCTTGTTTTGGGCAACAAAGCTTCACCTTTCAGTTCATTTTATACTCTATGGATCCTCTAAATTATTGTATTATACTCAGGTGACCATTAATTCCCTTGGGCCTCTTGTCTAATATTCCTAGGGTACGTAAAGGCTAGTCTATTAAGCTTATATATATAACCACTTTTTTGATATGATTAAGAAGAAATAAAATATCTTAGCATTTCCAGAAAACGTAGGACCACCGTTTCTTAAACACTACAAACTATTCATTTTATTTTCATTTAAGTAGTTTCTGAGAACTGTAGTGCAGCAATACACATAGAAAGAAGTGTAGAAATAAAACTTTTCTGGTGACAGAGAAGAGACGGAAAACCTTCCTAATGCCATAGAAACGAGTTTCTATTAAACAAAAAGGTCTATATGATGTATATCTGGTGTATTTTAATTTCTCTCTTATCAAATTTAGAAGACCATACCATAGTTTCATGTACCCCCTCCCCCTTTTTTTCTGAGACAGCTAGGTCAATACGCAGACATTAAATTTAAAATTGAAGAAGATCTTAAGAGTTTAATGAATAAAATTCAGTTCCGCTGATGTGATCTGACATTTTGGCAGCATTCAGTCTTCTGCTTTGTCTATAGAATTTATATTAATTTTATTTACAATTAAATTATCTTTCAAAAGTAGCGATTGGCATCTGTATTCATTAACATTTCACAATTTCTTGTTAATATATTACTTGAGGATGAATAATTTCATTCAATGATTGTAAAAATCATGAAATTTAATTTCCATCGTTTTTAATCTTTGAGAATCCTGGGATCCGCTCCCGCAGTTCTGTGAAAACCTCATCACTACTGTACCCTAAAAATTTAGCAGGCAAGAAGTGTTCATGATTCTGCTAAGCTAAGAAAGTTTATAAATATTTTGTCATCTCATAAAAAATAGCAGCCCCTGTCCAATTCAGAAATGCCCGATTTGAAAAGGAAAATTCAAGAATTATTTTGCTTCAGCCATGTTTTGACGTGAACCTTGCTCTACTTTCACTTCCCGTAACTTTTGTTCGACCAAAGCTAGAGAGAAACGTTTTTCGTTTGTTTGTGAAAGGAGGTTTGGCTTAGGGGAGGTTTTTTCTACGAATACTAACTTTGTTAAGTATTGAAGAATCATACAGTTTATGGTTTACTTCAGGGTGACATACGCTATTGCTTGCGATAGCAGATTTTCTAGTTAAGGTCTTTCGTCTCCACGGAAGACCTTATAGTGATTCTATTGTTTCTTATTATAATTATTATTATTATTAAGGTCTTCCGTCTTCAAGGAAGACCTTATAGTGATTCTACTGTTTCTTATTATTAAGGTCTTCCGTCTTCACGGAAGACCTTATAGC